GATTCATCAAAGGCTATTCCACCATTGTCGCACCACTCACGGATTTGCTTAAGAAGGCCACAAAATGGGAGTGGATGTTTGATCGCCAACATGCCTTTGATTCTTTGAAGAAAGCCATCATGGAGGAGCCAGTGTTAGCATTGCCCAACCATTTGAGGTACATACTGATGCATCTGACTTTGCTATTGGAGGTGTGTTAATGCAGGATGAACATACCATAGCATTTGAAAGTCGAAAGCTCAATGATACGGAGCTGCGATACACGATGCAAGAGAAAGAGATAACAGCCGTGGTGCATTGTCTACACACTTGGCGGCATTATTTGCTTGGTTCCAAGTTCTTGGTGAAGACGGATAATGTAGCAACAAATTACTTCTAGAGTCAGAAGAAACTCAGCCACAAGCAAGCTAGACGGTAAGATTTCTTGGCCAAGTTTGACTATATGTTGGAGTACAAGCCTGAGAAAGCTAACTTAGTGGTAGATGCATTGAGTCGGAAGGCCGAGTTCGCAGCCATAAGCAAAATACAAAGGGACCTCCTCAAGCTCATAAAAGAGGGTCTCGAACATGACACATTGGCCAAGCAACTCATCACCTTAGCCCAAGATGGTAAGACCAAGCACTTTTGGGTAGAAGATGGCCTCCTATACAGTAAAGAGAGAAGGGTGTATGTTCCGAAGTGGGGAAATTTGTGAAGGAACTTGATCAAGGAGTGTCACGACACCATATAGGCTGGACATCCCAGAAAAAGGCACACTCGAGCACTATTAGAGGCAACTTATTATTGGCCACAAATGCGGGACGATGTCGAGCAATTTGTGAGAACTTGTCTTGTGTGCCAATAAGATAAGGTGGAATACCAAAGCCCCGCAAGATTGCTGGAACCGTTGCCCACACCAAGTAGACCATGGGAGAGCATTTCAATGGATTTCATAATGTGCTTACCGAAATCCGAGGGGTTTAGTACTATCATTGTTGTGGTGGACAAGTTGTCGAAGTATGCTACCTTCATCCCCGCATCAAATGAGTGTATAGCAGAAGACACAGTCAAGCTCTTCTTCAAGCATGTGGTAAAGTATTGGTGTCTTTCGAAGTCTATCATCACTGATCGGGACAGTTGGTTCACAAAGAGATTTTGGACTGAGTTGTTCAAACTCATGGGGTCGGCGTTGTACTTTTCTACAAACTTTCACTCTCAAACCGATGGGCAGACCGAGAGAGTGAATGTTTTACTAGAGATATATCTACGGCACTTTGTGAGCTCCAACCAACTTGATTGGGCAAAGTTAATTGATGTAGCCCAATTTTCATACAACTTGCAAAGGAGTGAAGCCATCAACAAAAGCCCATTTGAGATAGTGATGGGCCAACAGCCACTCACGCCGCACACCATGGGTAAAAGTTATAAAGGGAGCAGCCTCGCGGCATTCAAAGTTGCTAAGTCATGACATGAGCAAGCCGACATCATACGAGAGTATCTTGACAAAGCAACCAAGAAAATGAAGAAGTGGGCGGACAAGAAGCAGAGGCATGTGGAGTACAATATGGGAGATCTAGTACTTGTCAAAATCCTCCCATCACAACACAAGTCCACCCGGCCACTACACAAAGCCCTTGTCCGAAGATATGAGGGGCCACTTCCCATAATCAAGAGGGTCAGTAATGTATCTTACAAGCTTGAATTGCCCTCTTGGTTGAGACTTCATCCGGTCTTCCATGTATATGACATACCATGAAGATGCGGAAGATCCAGGAAGGGGAGAATCAAAACAGGCACCATTTGACAACACCAAGTTCTATGACAAGGAGATGGAATGTGTGTTAGCCGATCGTGTCATTCGACAAAAGGGCCACTCTCCAAGTCGGGAATACTTTGTCAAATGGAAGGGGCTACCGAAGAGTGAAGCTAGTTGGGAACCCGAAGATGCATTGTGGCAATTCAAAGACAAGGTCTAAGAATTCTGCGAAGAGTCGACGAGGACGTCTCTGGTTTAGGTGGGGGAGAATGTGACGCCTCTCAAGCATTTCATCAAACACTTGGTGTGCGTCACCCCGACATTCTAGAACCTTCTGGAATACTCTTGTATATGCTAGAATCTTGTAATTAATATGGTAGTTGGTAGATAGTAATTGGTAGGTGGTATTTTAGAGTTAGCTAATCTTCACCGTTGATTTCGGGAGATCTAGACCGTCCATTGTAAGCTCCAACTACTATAAAAATGGGAGGTCTTCATTTGGCCATACCATCCAAGAATTGTAAAGTTCTCTCATTAGTAAAGAATTCTCTTCTAGCATCTCTTGTGAGTTTGTGTGAGTGTTTTCTTACTTGCAGGGCTAGAAGTGTGAACGAGCAAGGCTAGAAGTGTGAACGAGCTAGGCTGACTTAGGGCAATCGTCGGGAGATTGGCACCTAAGGCCGCACGAGTCCGAAGGGAAGCAATTGGGTCGTGACACAAGGCAGCAAAATGTACTATCAAGTACAAATCATGAAACATTGTGCTGCTGAGAACTAAACTTTTGCGCAACTTCATTTACAGAGCAAGCTCTGCTCATATACGCAGCAGCTCAGGCCTTTTACAGTTGAATTGGACTGTTAGAGCTTAAGTCTGGCAGTTGAATATGAGCTTACTTAATTAAGCGATTCCTGAACTGGAGCTGGAGCTATGACAGTTGATTTGGACTACTGAAATACAGCTGACTGTATATGTTGTGAACTGCCCTGCAAGCACTCACTCTGATGAGCTTCGTTGAATCAACTCTTTGACAGTTCGCCTTGTTTTCATCTGATGGTCGTTAATTTTGAGGTGTACGTGCCTGCATTTTTGCATAGGACGCTGCTTCGACAGTCCTTTTCCATTGTTTGTTTAGATCATTTTGTATTTATCTTTCCGTGTATTTGTACTCTTTCAAAGTCATACGTGCCTGCATTTTTGCATAGGATGCTGCTTCGACAGTCCTTTTCCACTGTTTGTTTAGATCATTTTGTATTTATCTTTCCGTGTATTTGTACTATTTCAAAGTCATGCTATTGCTATAGTATTATTCATTGCAACAATTTACAAGATTGTCTTATTAAGGAGGACGTGTGATACATGTAGGCATGGAGAGGGACGAGTGGTCCTTGCCTTTAAAGGGAAATAAAAAATATATTACTTTAGAAATATATCAATACTAATAAATTAGTGTGAACATTTTAATTTTGTTGTAATATATATAGTTCGAAAGAGGAATTATGAGAATAAGGAAAAATATAATAAGGGGATTAAATTGAGATGATTGAAGAAGTAATTCTGAAAGCTTATTATGGATTGTGGCAATGTGCAGCTATTTGTAGTTTGAGCCGCCAGTAGGACCAATTACATTAACCCAAAGAAAAGCAAACTTTTTTTTTTTTTTTTTTTGGTGATCGGGAGTGTCTAAACCAATTTGCGCACACCTCAACTAATCCTTTAGAGCCCTAAAGTGAATCATCAGGTAAATTCTATCAGTGGTTACCCCTATTAGTGTTTAGGAGGACTCAAATTCAGAAACTCATGTAGGAGTCTCTTTGCTCTTTTACTAATAGGTCGCCAATTAGTGGTTAAGCAAAGCAAACTTGCTACTCTTGTACCATTCCCCCTCCCTTCCTTTCATGTACCAACATTAATAATTTAGCTACAAGCCTAAGTGAGAAGATTTAATCCAAACCTCTTAAAAACATAGCTTATAGAGTAGAGCTATATTTAGGTCATTGAAAAGGGTGGTGAAACTGTCAACAATATCATTGGATGACTATGAAATTGTCTTGAGCATGAAGTTCCCGAGACAGTATAAATGTGGTGGTAATGCCCTATTGCAAATGCAGTTTGCATAATAGATGATGGTCCATGCATAATTCTTACAATAGCCAAATCATAATCGAAAGGGAAACGGCAGCGAAGGCTTAAGTCTAAACACACTCAATTGCTAAGACAACTTAAGCCTTCTTTTAAATATATTTTTAAGCCCCAATAATAATAATCTTTTAGAGAAAAAAAGATAATGGGTTAAGAAAGAGTTTTAGAAAGAAGAATATCGGGCTAATTTTGGGAAGAAATATAATATCTTAATAAATTAACTATTTTTTTAAATGTTTTTACTTAAAAAGAATTTTAGTGGGACTTAAATAAGAGGACTCTTTCACATAATTAGGTGGGAGATAATGTCACGTCTAGCCCAATTCAGAGGTATATTGGCCAAATCCATGTTGAGAGGTTAGGATATGGAGAATATCTTTAAGGAATCTTTCCTGAAAACTCCTTCACCAAAAATGTGTATCAGATAAGCTCCTGTATGTGATAGAAAAAAACATCAAAGACAGGCATATAGTTTTTATCCGAATAGGGCTTAATCATGGCCTTCAATTCTTATTGGATATATATATATATATATGTTGACCTCTACATCTACTTGTAAACATGTATATATAGCCCGCTAGTTTGTTCGATTTATTTATTCCAAGTATTGTATTCATTTGAAAGATAATAATATAAAATGAGTTCTCCCAATCTCTAACTTCCTGTGTTCTTAATTTATTGAGTGTTTTGATTAATAAGAGTGATGGAATCTCTGATCTTTCCACAACAAATCTAAATATTTAAAGTTAGTATAATTTCATTTTATAAATACAGTATGTTATTATTAGACAATTCATTTTATGTTTAGAAGCACTAAATTATCTTTTGCGTATTTTATAACCAAATATTAATACACTATATAGCATCCGTGTATTAAACAAATTCATCCATCCACTTTATTCTATAAAATACAAGGAGATTCCCTATTTTCAGTGAGATTTTGAGAGATTTTTAAATTATAAACACTTTAATTAATTTTAGCCCAAACTTCAAAGAGTCACAAAAATTAACCCTTCTGGCCATTAACAATTATAATGCATAGAAGGAGAAATTCCACTGGAACCCAAAATAAATTAAGCACAAAACATCAAATATTATAACAGCAAAGAAATTTTATCAACTGAAATAATGCGAATATAATATGATCATCTTATTCTTGTTATTAACATTTATTTCCAATCTTCTTAAGTTTTGTTGTTTTGAATACATCTAGGTTCAACCAGAGGTTTAGTAAACACGCCTACAGATTGTAATGCCATCACCTAATGGGACATGAGAAAGCTGGACGCGAGGATCACCTGCAAGTAACTTGTTGAGTTCCAAAGTTGCTTGCCTTCCTGCTTTTAGTATCTCTGGAGTCTCATCTTCTGGCATTGCAACCGATCCTATCCACAGTGTATTGTCATACACAGCAATCCCGCCCACCTTCAACAATTTCATCAACCTCTCATGGTAGTTCCAATAATTAACCTTGTCGGCGTCTACAAAAGCGAAATCAAAGCTGCCGTCATTTCTACTCTGTAGATGAAACAGAGGATGGGAGATTGTATTTAGAGTAAATTTGAGTAGAATATAGAGAGTTTGAGATGTTTAAAGATCTTTACATCTTGTAATAACTGATCAAGAACTGGTAGAGCCTCTGACTCTATGAAGTCTATCTTGTGTTCAACTCCAGCTCTTTTAATCACCGGTAATCCTATATCATATGCTTCACGATTCATATCAATTGCTATAATCTGCATTAATGCATTAATTTCCAGTCATAAATAGTTCACCATGATAAGACTGATGACAAAGTCGAAAGCAATGGCACTCTGAGGTCGATAAATTACTTACCTTACCATCTTGGGGAATGGCGAGAGCAGTGAGCAGAAGGGAATATCCAGTGAAAACCCCAATTTCAATTGTTTTCTTGGCATCAACTAGCTTCAAGAGCATCGCCATGAACTGACCTGCATCTGGTGCAGTACTCATCATAGCCCTACAAATTAACAACATCAACAACAAATGTGTAGACTAATAAATATCATTATTGCCGATTTTGAATGGATTCTGTTAACAAGCTTGAAATGTCATTGAGCACAAGCTACTTATTTTCAACCTGATTTACTTCTTTATCCATCTGTTATCACATTAGAAACCATGTCTAACAGGCCTATCCGGGCACCAAATGGAAGATTTAATTCTAAATGTTTGAATGGACTTGTATCAAAATTATTATAATGTTGATAAGAAAGTAAATATAAAGAAGAACAAATACCTTGGATGGGCAGCAGTAACATCCCTTATCTCCCGCAGAGGCTCGGGTTCTCGGGGGTACACGCTAGTCTCCAGAACATACTGCCAAAATATTATAACTTGACATTAACAAGTTTATTAAAAAGACAAAAAAACAATTATCAGTAGACAGAATTAATGGGTGATGATACATTGTACAACTCTTCAGTCTGCAGTAATCCTTTAGAAAATCTTGCTGGCGGCTTTGTGCCTTTCTCCATCGTACCCTTCAGTCTAGTACTTGACAGAAGATTTTTCAAAGTTATAAACTGATGTAACATCAAGTGATTTGAACAATAAGTAAAAATTAAATTACTCTGGTCAATTAATTGAAGTAAATTGCATTACAATCACCTATTAATTATGTAATTCAATTAAAGACCACAAAGAGAAAGGAGTTTCTCAACACAAGTATACAAATGGACAGTCAAGAATAGATATCAAAGCAGTTCAGCAATTAAGACTCAATGTAACAGTTACACTTACAATTCAGGTTCACATTTAACTTTGTCTACGTTAAAACTAGGTTAACTATGAAGTGGTTTAAAGTAGTAATCCAAACAAAATGTCAATTTCAAGCAAATTAAAGCCCAAAAAAATAGTCATCCCCAGAATATCTCAATAAAATCATATCAATAAGGCAAGTTGGCTGCATTAAAGGAGCGTACCAGAATAGTGCTATGCTCAAACCTTAGGGGTGGATAATGTGAATAAGCCCATCAAAATCTATGCTGAACATGAACAGAAAGAGAGAAGTAATTAATACCGATATGAAGATCAGTTGACGATGACGACGAGTGAATTTAGAGCGCACTGGGAGAAGGGTTAGCTGGCCGGCGTCTTCTTTTGTCTTGGATGAGATGAGATGAGATGAGATGAGATAGATGAAAATCACTTGCAGAAGCATATATACTTACACAGAATTCCCCTCCAAATGCCGCTATGGATCAATGGATCACGTGACGACAAAAGTAATAGAATAAAGAAACGCTGCGTTTCTTCCATTATTCGAAAATAATAAAACCACGGAAGGTTGCGCATCGAATCTGTGTATCGAATGACGTGACAAAATCCTGACTGTTGATTAATTTTAACTGATAATGAATCAACGGTCAAAATTTTATCACGTTATTCAATACACAAATTCGGTGTGCAACCTTCGATAGCTGTAGCATTACTCTTCATTATTTCACCACTGTTTTGTCCATATTCCAAATACAAATGCGTCTTCTATTTTCAAAATCATATCCTAAATTAAAGGCTATTTTAAACCCTCTAAGTTTTTTAATTAATAAAAACACCCTCAACAAAAAAAAATTATAAATTGATAAAAATACCCCCACCCACTTATAGTTGCCAGATTCCGACAACCACCATCGGTGGTGGCTAGAATCTATCACAACGACGCACTACTAGTCAGAACTGGCCGGCAATGCACCAATTTTGCCTTTTTCGACTAGATCTATAGTGGATCTGGCCATCGTTGACGACCAGATCTGGTTGTGGACAACTAGATTTGACCGTAGATTTGGTTTTTTCTTACCAAATTCATGGTGAATCTGACCGAAAAATGTCAGATCGGTACACGACCGACTAGATTCGACCGGTCATATGTTGTAATGCCAGATTCCGGGTTGTAATGCCTATAATAAAAGTTTAAAAAATCAATAATACACCCCTACCAACCCAACCACTGTCGGCCGTCGACAACCATCGTCGGTAGCTAGCAACCTAACAATTCACAAAAGACTGGAAATGGTCATATCGATGCACGACTGCCATTTTCGGCCTTCCATGTGCTGTGGCCGTTAACGACCATCGATCTGGCCGTTGATGGCTAGATCTTTGGCCATTTCCAACTAGATCTCTAGCCGGAAATGGCCATATCGGCTCACGGAAACCATTTCTAACCTTCCGCGCGTCGTTTAGATGGCAACGATAGCTAACCATTGGCGGCCGGCAACGGCAGGTGGGTGGGGGTGATGGCTTAGGTGGACTACAATTTGTTTTGAATTCAAGGGTAATTTTGTCCAAAAAATTAATTAATTGAGGTAAAATTGTAAAAGTCAGATTCATGTAAATTGATTTTAAAACAAGGGCATTATTATCCAAAAATTTATTAATAAGGGATGAAATTGTAACAAAAATAAGATAACCAAGTAATCTTACAATACTTAAGAAATTAGAGGTAATCGGATTATCTCCAATATTACCAACAATAATTATTATCGGCATTGAAAGATTACCAGAATTTTATATTACTTGACAACCAAACATGATAATCAAGTAATATAAAATGACATAACCTTAGTAATCCTATATAATCCCCAACCAAACACCCCCTTCAAGTTTATCTCTTAACAGTTGTGGTGGTTGCTTATGTGAATGGTGCTTGTGGTGGTGGCTTTCTTGTGTCGGCAAGGGGTTTGGTTCGGAGAATGTTGTATAACTAGGAATGTTATATTAATGGGAAGATAGATTATCTTGAAGATTATTGAGAATGTTTAGGAAAATGTACTTAGTTAAGTTGGAATAAATTAGTGGGTATGTTATATTGATAGGTTTGGTTGAGGGGAATAAATTGTTTGGTATGTTATATAAATTACTGAATTATATTATTATTTTTTTAACCCCTATACTTGAGAGTTTAGCTAAAACATCCCATAATAAAAGTTTAAAAATTAATAAAAGACCCTAGCCACCCAAGCCACAATTGGCCATCGATCACCACCGCCGGTTGTCAACTATTATGGTCAGAATGGCACATGACCGATCAAATCTGGTCGTTGATTTGACCGTTTCGACCATTAACGGTCATGGATCTAGCCGTTTCTTGCTAGATCAACGGATCTGGCCGAAAACGGCCAAATTGATGATTATTAATAGTCAGATCGATGCACAGCTGTCTAGATGCAGCCCATCATGCCTCGTTTTGGCGCTAACGGTTGGTGGTGGTGGCCAAATCCAACCACCACTCTAAGGTAATTGTTTTTAAGTTCAAGGGTATTTATGCCCTAAAAATTTTGTATATAAGGATAAAATAGTCTATAAATATTATTGTAAATTGTTTTCAAAACAAGGGCATTATTGTCCAAAAAATTTAATAGTTAATGGTAAAATTGTAACAAAATTAAAATTACCAAATAATCTTAAAATACTTAAGAAAATAATAGTATTCAGATTACCACCTATATAAGTATATAATCAACAGTAGTGATTATTGGTTTTGGAAAATTATCAGAATAGTATCACTATGTTTGGCTTACTATTTTTATCCAGATTCTGGATCCTATTCTCCAAATAATGTTTGGCACATTATTCCAAGAATATTACCCTATTTTTTTAAATTACTTTTAGACCCCATAAGGTTATTAATTTCATCAAATACACACTAAAAAAAAGTTTAAAAATTATCAAAAACACCCCCGCAACCCATACTTGCCAGATTCCGGCAACCACCGTCGGTGGTAGCCGAAATCTATACAACGGCCAACCTGCCGACCATAAATGGTCGGAAGTTCACCGATCTGGCCTTTTCCGGCCAAATCCACCACGGATTTGGCCGAAAAAGGCCAGATCTGGCTGTGAACGACGGCCATATCTTTGGCCGTCGCTGACTGACGGCCAAAGATGGCCATCGTTTTGGCCTTTTTGGGCCGTCGACGGCCATGGCAGGCCATAGATCTGGCCTTTTCCGACCAGATCTGTGGTGGATCTGGCCGGAAAAGGCCATAACGACTCGTTACGACACAGATCCGACCGGTCTGTGTCGTAACGCGATTTTCTGGCCAAATTCTGGCGGTGGTGGCCAGAATCTGGCACTGCAGGTGGTGGGGGTATTTTTGTCGATTTACATGTTGGGGTATTTATGAAATTAGCAAACTTAGGGGGTTTTTCTATAAATTTTTAAATTTTACCTCGTAATACTCCCATATTCAATTATCCAATACTACCCCCAAAATAATAAACCAAACGCATACATAGTATATTACTTCACAACGAAAGCCGCTATATTAGGTAAATGCAATGAACTCTATGTTTAATTCATTTTAACTTTGAAACCAACTGATTTTAGAAATTAAAAGTAAAAAAAAAAAAATGTGTTAGTGAGATTTTTGAGATGAGAAAAATAAATGATAGAAAATTTTGAAAATTAATTTATAAATACAATATTTGAAAATTTATTTTATACCACGTGATAAAAGTCACATGACTTGCACATGTCTCACTCCATTCGGCTATCTATGACATGGCAGAAGATGATTGGGCCATGAGCGTGGAGTCTGGTCATCAGCGCCATCAGATCAGCGATACCAGTCTCCCAAGCGGACTCCAGACTTTCCCAATTTCAGAATTCGAGTTAGTGAGATTCATTTGCTGTCTCTTCTTTTTCGTTTAATTACGAAACAGAACTATGAGATTGGCGTGTTTTGTTCTTCTCGTTTCATATTTCGTATGCAGCTACGTGGTAGCTGATCAAATCTACCCAGCTCATGTAGGTAATAAGTAATAACCCATTTTCATCTTTATTTATTTATTCTTGTTATAATCGATTCAATAGCTTTCTTTTCCTTTCTGAGTTTAGCTCTATGTACATTTATCCAATAAAGAACTTCTCTTTGATCTTACTATTCATGTTTTATCGGTAATTTCATTGTTGTTTTCATCATTTGAGCTTGGTTTTATGTCAATTTCTTTGATTTAACATCTAATTTTTATTTGGGTTGGTATTGATTTTCTTTTTTGGAGAGTTTTCGGTGAGTTATGGAAGAACTGGGATTTTATGAAGCTTATGTAGAGCTTAATGATTTGAACTTGCTTTTAGATTACGATGGGTTTAAGCTTCTGTGTCTTTGTGTAATGTAGTTGGGAGTGTGTCTGCTCTCCTTGCTGTCTTTTATGTTCTGGGTAGAGTTTTGACTCCATGGCTAACTGTGCAAAGAAGCATTTCTTTCTTTCTTTCTTTTTCTTTTTCTTTTTTTCTTTTTGGTGAGCTTGTGCTGGATGTATGGAGTTCACCTTACTGTATGCTGTTCTTCCTTGGTTTGCTATATATTTAAAGACAAACCATTAGAAAATTTAATTTTTGTGTGAATCTTGGTGATGAAAAGGTTAGAGAATTTTACGAGAGTGAAAGCTTTCATGGGAGAAAGGTTTGGAGATTTTTAGATTTGGGATCAAATAAACTCATCAGAGTAGTTGAGCGTTAGACATTCAGTGCTTTTGAAGAGCTTTGGTGCCACCCAAAGGGTGTGTGGCCTGGTTATGTGATTATGTTAGTGGTTTAGAGCAGCCAACGTGATGTCTTTTAGGATTTCAATTGCTTAGCATTCATCTGTTGATTTTAGTTTAAAGGTTTGCTTTGGGCTAAGGTTTGCTGCAGGCTACCTAGAGCCAACCATATGTATTTGAGATAGGTTTCTGGTCCGCCTTTTGATTATTATATTTAGTAGTACTGGTAATAAAAAAATAAATGGGGATACTTAAGATACAGGTTCATCTAGATATCTGCAGTTCTTTTATCTAAAAGAACAGGTTCATCTAGATATCTGCAGTTCTTTTATCTAAAGGAACTGGCACAATCGTGTTAGTTGACAAGGGACTAAAATCATGAGGTGCTTTATACAGGGGCTGACCATGGATAATGCAGTTGTTACTACTCATGGCCTTGAGGTCCTTTTTCAAAGTGTATTATCAGTCATAAGAAGACATAATGGTTAGGCTCTCATGCACTTGTGTGTTTTATATGCTAAAAAACTTAGTCATTGTATAGAAATTATGCCATCTGACCACTTTGCTTTAAACTTATCACTTGCTTTTCTTGTAATCCTATTTTCTTATGTTTGATCCTGGTGTGCTAGGTATTTTATTTTTGTATACTTTTCTCTCATTAATGGGTTTACAGGTGGTACATTTGGCCGCAGCTCTCGTGAGCCAAAATACAAGATTGAATTCCATTCAGAAGACTCCCCATTTCATCCTGTAAGTATTGCTTAGACTTTGGAGTTTTTACTCCCCTTTTCGTTCTCATTAAAAGTTGACCATGGCCATTATGATCAGAGAGTGCATAATGAGACCAATATGCTGAACATTCTCTAGACTTCATATGTTGCAGATATCTATCTGCAAGTCTCTTTTGTTTTCTTTAATATATATATATAAGATATCAATCATTAAATTGATTTCAGTTGGTATTGCATGATTTTCTCTAGAACAACATATTTATTATGGCTGTATGAATTGTTATGCTGGAACTCGAGGACAGTATTGCTATCTAATAGCATTGTGTTCAACTCCAGCTCTTTAATCACCGGTAATCTATATCATATGCTTCACGATTCATATCAATTGCTATAATCTGCATTAATGCATTAATTTCCAGTATAAATAGTTCACCATGATAAGACTGATGACAAAGTCGAAAGCAATGGCACTCTGAGGTCGATAAATTACTTACCTTACCATCTTGGGGAATGCGGAGAGCAGTGAGCAGAAGGAATATCCAGTGAAAACCCCAATTTCAATTGTTTTTGGCATCAACTAGCTTCAAGAGCATCGCCATGAACTGACTGCATCGGTGCAGTACTCATCATAGCCCTACAAATAACAACATCAACACAAATGTGTAGACTAATAAATATCATTATTGCCGATTTTGAATGGATTCTGTAACAAGCTTGAAATGTCATTGAGCACAAGCTACTATTTTCAACCTGATTTACTTCTTTATCCATCTGTTATCACATTAGAAACCATGTCTAACAGGCCTATCGGGCACCAATCGAAGATTTAATTCTAAATGTTTGAATAGACTTGTATCAAAATTATTATAATGTTGATAAGAAAGTAAATATAAAGAAGAACAATACCTGGATGGGCAGCAGTAACATCCCTTATCTCCGCAGAGGCTCGGGTTCTCGGGGGTACACGCTAGTCTCCAGAACATACTGCCAAAATATTATAACTTGACATTACAAGTTTATTAAAAAGACAAAAAAAACAATTATCAGTAGACAGAATTAATGAGTGATGATACATTGTAACTCTTCAGTCTGCAGTAATCCTTTAGAAAATCTTGCTGGTGGCTTTGTGCCTTTCCATCGTACTCTTCAGTCTAGTACTTGACAGAAGATTTTTCAAAGTTATAAACTGATGTAACATCAAGTGATTTGAACAATAAGAAAAATTAAATTACTCTGGTCAATTAATTGAAGTAAATTGCATTACAATCACCATAATTATGTAATTCAATTAAAGACCACAAAGAGAAAGGAGTTTCTCAACAAGTATACAAATGGACAGTCAAGAATAGATATCAAAGCAGTTCAGCAATTAAGACTCAATGTAACGTTACACTTACAATTCAGGTTCACATTTAACTTTGTCTACGTTAAAACTAGGTTAACTATGAAGTGGTTTAAAGTAGAATCCAAACAAAATGTCAATTTCAAGCAATAAAGCCCAAAAAAATAGTCATCCCCAGAATATCTCAATAAAATCATATCAATAAGGCAAGTTGGCTGCATTAAAGGGATACCGAATAGTGCTATGCTCAAACCTTAGGGGTGGATATGTGAAAAGCCCATCAAATCTATGCTGAACATGAACAGAAAGAGAGAAGTAATTAATACCGATATGAAGATCAGTTGACGATGACGACGAGTGAATTTAGAGCGCACTGGGAGAAGGGTTAGCTGGCGGCGTCTTCTTTTGTCTTGGATGAGATGAGATGAGATGAGATGAGATAGATGAAAATCACTTGCAGAAGCATATATACTTACACAGAATTCCCCTCCAAAGCCGCTATGATCAATGGATCACGTGACGACAAAAGTAATAGAATAAAGAAACGCTGCGTTTCTTCCATTATTCGAAAAAATAAAACCACGGAAGGTTGCGCATCGAATCTGTGTATCGAATGACGTGACAAAATCCTGACTGTTGATTAATTTTAACTGATAATGAATCAACGGTCAAAATTTTATCACGTTATTCAATACACAATTCGGTGTGCAACCTTCGATAGCTGTAGATTACTTCATTATTTCACCACGTTTTGTCCATATTCCAAATACAAATGCGTCTTCTATTTTCAAATCATATCCTAAATTAAAGGCATTTTAAACCCTCTAAGTTTTTTAATTAATAAAAAACACCCTCAACAAAAAAAAATTATAAATTGATAAAAATACCCCACCCACTTATAGTTGCCAGATTCCGACAACCACCATCGGTGGTGGCTAGAATCTATCACAACGACGCACTACTAGTCAGAACTGGCCGGCAATGCACCAATTTTGCCTTTTTCGACTAGATCTATAGTGGATCTGGCCATCGTTGACGACCAGATCTGGTGTGGACAACTAGATTTGACCGTAGATTTGTTTTTTTCTTACCAAATTCATGGTGAATCTGACCGAAAAATGTCAGATCGGTACACGACCGACTAGATTCGACGGTCATATGTTGTAATGCCAGATTCCGGGTTGTAATGCCTATAATAAAAGTTTAAAAAATCAATAATACACCCTACCAACCCAACCACTGTCGGCCGTCGACAACCATCGTCGGTAGCTAGCAACCTAACAATTCACAAAAGACTGGAATGGTCAATCGATGCACGACTGCCATTTTCGGCCTTCCATGTGCTGTGGCCGTTAACGACCATCGATCTGGCCGTTGATGGCTAGATCTTTGGCCATTTCCAACTAGATCTCTAGCCGGAAATGGCCATATCGGCTCACGGAAACATTTCTAACCTTCCGGCGTCGTTTAGATGGCAACGATAGCTAACCATTGGCGGCCGGCAACGGCAGGTGGGTGGGGGTGATGGCTTAGGTGGACTACAATTTGTTTTGAATTCAGGGAATTTTGTCAAAAAATTAATAATTGAGGTAAAATTGTAAAAGTCAGATTCATGTAAATTGATTTTAAAACAAGGGCATTTTATCCAAAAATTTATAATAAGGGATGAAATTGTAACAAAAATAAGATAACCAAGTAATCTTACAATACTTAAGAAATTAGAGGTAATCGGATTATCTCCAATATTACCAACAATAATTATTATCGGCATTGAAAGATTACCAGAATTTTATATTACTTGACAACCAAACATGATAATCAAGTAATATAAATGACATAACCTTAGTAATCCTATAAATCCCCAACCAAACACCCCTTCAAGTTATCTCTTAACAGTTGTGGTGGTTGCTTATGTGAATGGTGCTTGTGGTGGTGGCTTTCTTTGTCGGCAAGGGGTTTGGTTCGGAGAATGTTGTATAACTAGGAATGTTATATTAATGGGAAGATAGATTATCTTGAAGATTATTGAGAATGTTTAGGAAAATGTACTTAGTTAAGTGGAATAATTAGTGGGTATGTTATATTGATAGGTTTGGTTGAGGGGAATAAATGTTGGTTGTTAATAAATTATGAATTATTATTATTTTTTTAACCCTATACTGAGAGTTTAGCTAAAACATCCCATAATAAAAGTTTAAAAATTAATAAAAGACCCTAGCCACCCAAGCCACAATTGGCCATCGATCACCACCGCCGGTTGTCAACTATTATGGTCAGAATGGCACATGACCGATCAATCTGGTCGTTGATTTGACCGTTTCGACCATTAACGGTCATGGATCTAGCCGTTTCTTGCTAGATCAACGATCTGGCCGAAAACGGCCAATTGATTTATAATAGTCAGATCGATGCACAGCTGTCTAGATGCAGCCCATCATGCCTCGTTTTGGCGCTAACGGTTGGTGGTGGTGGCCAAACCAACCACCACTCTAAGGTAATTGTTTTAAGTTCAAGGGTATTATGCCTAAAAATTTTGTATATAAGGATAATAGTCTATAAATATTATTGTAAATTTTTTCAAAACAAGGGCATTATTGTCCAAAAAATTTAATAGTTAATGGTAAAATTGTAACAAAATTAAAATTACCAAATAATCTTAAATACTTAAGAAAATAATAGTATTCAGATTACCACCTAATAAGTAATAATCAACAGTAGTGATTATGGTTTTGGAAAATTATCAGAATAGTATCACTATGTTTGGCTTACTATTTTTATCCAGATTCTGGATCCTATTCTCCAATAATGTTTGGCACATTATTCCAAGAATATTACCCTATTTTTTAAATTACTTTTAGACCCATAAGGTTATTAATTTCATCAAATACACACTAAAAAAAAGTTTAAAAATTATCAAAACACCCCCGCAACCCATACTTGCCAGATTCCGGCAACCACCGTCGGTGGTAGCCGAAATCTATACAACGGCCAACCTGCCGACCATAAATGGTCGGAAGTTCACCGATCTGGCCTTTTCCGGCCAAATCCACCACGGATTTGGCCGAAAAAGGCCAGATCTGGCTGTGAACGACGCCATATCTTTGGCCGTCGCTGACTGACGCCAAGATGGCCATCGTTTTGGCCTTTTTGGGCCGTCGACGGCCATGGCAGCCATAGATCTGGCCTTTTCCGACCGACAGTCTGTGGTGGATCTGGCCGGAAAGGCCATAACGACTCGTTACGACACAGATCCGACCGGTCTGTGTGTCAACGCGATTGTCTGTAGTATTATTCATTGCAACAATTTACAAGATTGTCTTATTAAGGAGGACGTGTGATACATGTAGGCATGGAGAGGGACGAGTGGTCCTTGCCTTTAAAGGGAAATAAAAAATATATTACTTTAGAAATATATCAATACTAATAAATTAGTGTGAACATTTTAATTTTGTTGTAATATATATAGTTCGAAAGAGGAATTATGAGAATAAGGAAAAATATAATAAGGGGATTAAATTGAGATGATTGAAGAAGTAATTCTGAAAGCTTATTATGGATTGTGGCAATGTGCAGCTATTTGTAGTTTGAGCCGCCAGTAGGACCAATTACATTAACCCAAAGAAAAGCAAACTTTTTTTTTTTTTTTTTTTGGTGATCGGGAGTGTCTAAACCAATTT